CCAAAGTCCACACCTATGTTAGGGATAAGTACTGAACTACTACGGGAGGTCCCGTAGATTTCCGAGGTCTCCTCACAGAAACCCATGTTCCTGGGGTCTGGATCAGTCCCATGCTGGTATCCCAGCTATCAGTCTGGGGACCAAGAGCTCCCCGATGTTCAGGTCAGGCTTAACAATATTCTTAGTTTCCATCTGAAATCTCTCTCTCTCTCTCTCTCTCTCTCTCTCTCTCTCTCTCTCCAGTTTCCTTCCCCAGCCTCTAGTTTGGCCCTTTTCTTTCTCATCATAATCCCCATCTGGGACCCAAACCCAGCCCACACTCTGCAGAGAGGCTGTGGGAGGGGCCCTGCCAAACTTACTCCCAGACAGATGTGCTCTGTTCCCTGCACAGCTGTCCAGGCCTGTCCATCTGTGCTCACTTCCTGCCTCCCTGCTCCAGCCCCTCACACTTCCCACGCCAGGGTGGGGAAGTCTAGTCCAGAGATTTTCTTCTTCTCAATCCAAAAGCCGTTAAGTGGCCACTCACACAGCATAACCCAGCACCTTGGTTCCTGCCCTTCCCGGGGCATCCAGGCCTAGGAAACACTCCAGCAAGTCTGCACCTTCCCTGACCTTAGACTTCTAAATCTCAATGTCTTGACAGCTGCTCAGGACCCACCTGGCTCTGATGTGATTTCATTATTTTCTCAAGCCTTAGAAGCCAATGCTGTGACCCTTTAATACAGTTCCTCAAGTTGTGGGGACACCCCCCCAACCATAAGATTATTCTCATTGCTATTTCATAATTGTTATGAATTGTAATGTAAATACCTGATATGCAGGATATCTGTGATATATGCAACCCCTGTGAAAGGGTCATTCAAAAACCCCCAAGGGGTCATGACCCACAGGTTGAGAACCACTGCTCTAAGTGAAATAAACATTACTTTCTAAAATAGCTTGGACTGGGGAGGTGTCTCAGTTGGTAAAGTGCTTAGTGTGCAAGCCTGAGGACCTGTCTTCGAGTCACCAGCACTCACGTAAAATCTGAATGTCATGGAGTATCCTTGTAGTCCCAGCACTGGGGAGGCAGAGACAGGCAGACCCCAGGTCTTAGTGAGAGGCCCTGCCTCAGAACACAAAGCTGAAGCTGGAGAAATGGCTCCCTTGGTAAAATGCATACCGCACAGGTGTGGGGACTGGAGTCTGGATCCTGCGAACCCACATAAAAGGCATGGTGCCTGCTGGTAGTCACAGCACTAGAGAGTCAGAGACAGATGATCCCTGGGGCAGGCTGACTGGCTGTACTTACCACAACTGGTGAGCTCTTGGTTCAAGGAGAGATCCTGCCTCAATTAAAAAAAAAAAAAAAAGTGGAAAGTGATGAAGGAAGTCTACAGATGTCAACTTCCACACATGCGGGTGCGCATACTTGCACATAGTCTACACCCTCGTGTAAACACACCAAGACACAGACCACATGCACATTCACACTCTAAGAGACACTAAAAAGGAATGACAAGCTTGTCCTCTGGCTTCCACACATATGCACATTAATAAACATACGCATGTATGATGGGTGCAAAAAAAAAAAAAAAAAGACATGCCACTCTCATGACTGATTCCTGCAGAGATCCATGTGCACCCTCCAGTCTTGCAGCTTTGAGGTAGGGTTGCATCTCTGGAACCCAGTTTGTTTTTAAGGTTTCCAAAGCTCCTCCTGGCTCTTGACATGGAGTGTCATTCATCCTCTGGGCTTTAGAATGGTATGGGAGGCTCTGTAACATCTGGGTGATAACCTCTCCTTAAGACAAGGAGCTGGGGGACTATGGATGCATACCTCACAACACCAGCCTTGGCTCTAGACATCGAAGGTGCTCAGTAAGGGTGTGCTGAACTGGCACACATCAGTGTCAAAAGGCAAATGAGGAATCTGATCAACGCTTACACTTTGCCTTTGGGAAACTCAGATTAGGCAATCAGGAAAAGGAAGGGCAGAAGCATGTGTCTTCATGGTGGAGAATGGTAGTGGCAGTGTGGGAGATGACTGAAATGAACTGTGTCCCCTATTTAGACAGGGCCTTTTCTTTGACACCACGCCCTAATGTTTCAGGAGTGACCAGAAAGATGGGCAGTCATTCCCTTTTCCTAGAAGTATACTAAGGGTGTGTTTGAAACTCCAGAATCCTGCACTTTCCAAGAACTGGCTTCTCCAGGCAGGAATAAGCCCCAAACAAAGTGCTAATGTCCAGGACAGGAGCAAAGAGCTAATCCAGACTTTGCAGTTACAAGGCAGGGCCCACTTCATGGACCACCATTTGTAAATGAGGCATAATTTCAGGTCAGCCCGCTCTCCCAGCTTACAGAGACACACACGGTCTGGTGTATGTCTTTAGGTGAAAACAGTTGCTGATCTTTTTTTTTGCCAGCCCTACCCCCCTCAAAAAAAAACCCTAAATCATGGGATTTAATTTGGGTTTTTAAGTGGCACCCTTGATATGAGCTGTCTAAACTATAGGCATAGGTGGTGGTGTTTTTTGTTTTGTTTTTATTTTGTTTTGTTTTGTTGTGTTTTAAACCATTTTCTTAAGAACCTAAGAAAGAAAAGTTCTTGGGGCTGGGAGTGTGACTCAGTTAGTAGAATGTGTGCCTGCCATGCACAAGGCCCTTGGTTCCATCCCAAGCATCACATAAACCAGGCATAGTGGCAAGCACATGCCTGCAATCCCAATTCCCAGACGTAGAGAAGAACTAGAAGTTCAACGTCATCTCAGCTACACAAATAATTCAAGCATTTTGGCCACAGAAGACGCTGTCTCAGAAAGAGAAGGAAGGAAAAAAGGAGGTGGAGGAGAGGAGGGAAGAAGGAAGGGGAAAGAAGAGGAAAAGAAAAGCTCTTTCACATGGACATTCATATCACCTTTATTCCACTTGGCAAATTTGGCCACCATCACTGCCATGGAGTCCCTTGCCACTCAGGTCTCAGCCTGAAAAGTTTAATCTGATAAGTCGGAGCCTCACATCACAGAAAGAGAGGATGGATGAGTGGATCGCTGATGACAGGAAGGCCGGATGACAGACAAACAGGGAGGTAGCTGGTAGACACTAAATAGGCACAGAGGTTAAGGCTCACCCTCATGTACAGCCTTGGAAGCAGGCTGCTTGCCAAAGAGTACTGTCCTCTATTTGAGAGATCAAGATGACTTATGCACCCCTATAGCTTCAACCAAGAGCAATCAGTATTTGTTACTTACACACACACACACACACACACACACACACCTTCTAAGGTAAAGTTCCTATTCTGCCAGCTCACCAATGGTTGGCAGCCTCACTCCCCTCTCTACATTTCATAGAAAGGGAAAATCCATAGATACACATTCACCTGGATTCCTTTGATAATTCTTCTAGGGGAGTCCTGGGATCTCACAGATGCCCCTGGATGTTAGACTCATGTATTTCAAGGCATCTGGGGTTTGGAAGGAGGGACAGGGCTTCATTCTGTACAGCAGCATCCCTAGACTTCTAAGTCAAGGTTATCCACCCCTGTTATCCTACTCGTAGGATCTCCATCCAGGATAGCCGCCTTGACCTACCTAGGAGCAGGGACCTTGACCTCAGAGCCCCCACAGCATGGATTCCCTGGGACCAATTTCACAACCCAGCACCGAGTTTACTACACGTTTCAGACGAAGGTGTGTCAGAGCCGAGAGCATGCTTCTGCCCGCTGCGTGGGCGTGAAGTTCAATGCCTTCTTGTCAACACTTGAATGTGTTGAACATCACTCACAAGGGCATTCTTTAAGAAACCTATTAAGTTAATTACCCAGGCATTTTTTTCCCTCTCTCCCCCTATCCATGCATCTCACATAAGGCAAAAAAAAAAAAAAAAATTGGCTTTCTTCCTTTCAGAGATACTTTTGATGTAACTCCTCTCTCTTCTTGGCATAATAGCATCTTGTTTATTTCTCCAACACTTAGTCAGGATGGCAGCACCGCACAGCCCTCCTCCCTTGCTCAGATCTCAGGACTGAGGGGAGCTAAGTGAGGGTTTGTGACCCAAGAGATGGAGGATAGTAGTTCACCTGCTATCTCATTTCTAGCTAACTGCCCTCAAGAGTGGTGATGACGAGGATGAGAAGAGTGATGATGACACAGGATTCCCCAAGAGATGCAAGCCCATCAGCAAGCATTTATTAAACAGCAGTCCTGTGCCCAGTACCTAACACCATTGGCTTTGGGAGAAGAAAACACTCCACCCAGATAAATTTTTCCTAACTCCAGGCATAAGAGTCCTAAGAAAATGAAAGTATTGTCTTATTAAAGATTATAAAACTGAGTGGGGAGATCAAGAGAACTGGGCTCTAAACCCTTTCTGCTACAGGTACCTGATTCTGTAGATGCCAGGGTCACGAATGTGGCCCTTTGTTGAATGTAGGCGTGGCCCTGGCTCATCATATAGTGCTTTCATGGAGCTGTTGGTGGTGGCTCATCCATGCCTGCACAACTGCCTAGAGCAGCCTACCTGGATCAAGGGTCTACTCAAAGGAAGCGGAGGTGAGGCAATGTTCAGACGGACTGTAAATAGAACCCCGCAGAGTTTATTTATACTCTATGCTAGATGAATGGCTGTAGCCCTGTGCGGTGACACTTCTGTCTAGCGAGATGGATAGAGGCACAGTCTAGGGCAGTTAGGGCTCTCCAGCTCTAGCGGGGAGCTGTGATGTTTGTGCCATCCTGACACAGATGGGAATTTCTTGCATTTAGATGGAAAGCAAGAAGAGCAAGAAAGGGCCATAGAGACCTAGGAGGAGATAGCAATGGGCCAGACCTCAACCTCACTATATTAGACGGTATCGTGGCTGCTAGCTTTGAAGAGAAAACCGCATCCCACCACAGCTTCTTTGTAAAGACCCAACACAACCCAAAAACACCTCCATTCTTTTCTACTTACATGGAAGCAGAAAAGCCCTGAGGCGAATGAAGACACTACAAGAGAACTCTGGGAGATGGACTACCTACCCAATACTCACATCCATGTTGGTCCCCTGACCCCAGTCTGTTATTCCTCTTGTCACAACAAGAAACCACTTCAACTCTCAGCCAGGGGATCTGGATCTGTAGGGCAAGGGAGTGAATTGAAACAGGGAAGCCTCTGTGTGGAACCAGAGTTCACAGGAACCCAAGGGATCTACCACCCTACCCCCACCCCTCTCAGCCTTTCTCCTAACTCTCTCAAGCTTTTGGTGGCCTGTCCTGTTCTGGGGTGTGTACCAATGGCCTGCATATCTGGGTGCATCAGGAGCCTCAGACCTTCCAGAAGGCCTTGGTTTCGTCGGGGATGCTTTCATTCCTAGCTGGGGGAACCGCAAGACTATCTACAGTCACTCCAACCCTCCTCCCTGCCTTCCCTCTGATTCAGGGCTGATGAAAGCCTGGTCACTTCTGACTCACACCCCTACTCTCCACATGCCCCTAGAGACCACATCCAGCCGTGGAAGGTCTAGTGCAGTGGTGTTGGGAATGTGGAGAAGAGCTGGTGGCGTCCAAGGACTTGACCCTGAGCACCTCGAGTTGGAAAATTGGACTCATAAGCCCTCACTGCCTTCTCCCCTGAGGCATCTAGTGCAGTTTCACTCTGACGCTACACTCTGACAGGCAGGTTCTACGAGCCAGGTTACCCAAGGCCTGGACACCATCTAGGGGAGGAAGAGAGCGGCATCCCTTGCTGTGCAGACTTTGGCCATGGTCCATCTAATGCTGAGTTCAGGACCTCCCCCCCGCCCCCCCCCCCCCCCCCTAACCCAGGGCCCTCCTCTCAGTGCTGCATCAGACCTCCCTCAGCCTAAGTCTGTAAACATGCCCCAAACCCAAGCAGCCTGACAGAAGCTCTCTGTCAGGGGTCACCATCCTTTCTCTGGATCTGGGGGAGGTGGAGCAGACCTATGGGCAGAGGCATTGCAAGAAGGATATAGCAGCAAAGAAATAATTATCTCTCATCCCCATACCTCTCTACATAAAGTACATGCTTATCTGTAGAAGCTCATGTGTGCATGCCTCAACTGTTCAAACTGACTTGAAATTTAAGTATTTCATAAAGCCAGGGCCCTAAGTCCTGGATCCCTTCACCCGAGCTGGGGCAGACACATAAGTACACTCCTTCATGCTAGACCACAGCTCTTTGGGATAACATACTCGATGACTGTGTGCGCATACTCGCACATTCCCTGAGAAAGCCCCTGAGGCCTCTGTGGGAAGGCTTTCCGGGAGACTTTTATGGTCAAAGAGGAAATCTAGGCACTGTGAAACAAACAGCCCAGGCCAGGGAACCTGCAGATGCCTGCCAGGAGTGGAATTGGGTTGCAACCATCTCATGGCTCTGTAGCCTTCAACCCATTTCCTAGACCCATGCTGCTTGGTGCAACAGGCCTAGGCAGAAAACCAGATGCCCTTGTAATCTCGGCATTGGGGAGACAAGAGAATGAGTAGGTCAGGGACAGTCTAGGTTACATGGTGAGACCCTGTCTCAAACCCTACCCTACCCCTTCCCCCAAAAGAAAGAAATCTGTTATGCACTCACTGCTCCTGCACATGTAAATACACATATAGGCACAGCTGCCTGCCCTCTAGCTCACACCCTGATCATAGCAAGGTCCTATTCAACGATAATTAGAGATGGAGCAGGTGTGTAAGAAATTACCCTCAATATTTCACAGAAAAGGCTCCAGAGGCACACAGATCAAGTGATTTGCCCAAGGTCATCATCCATCTCCAAGCCTAGTACCTATACCTCTATCCACACCTTCTCCTGAGTCCTGGGTCAGGAGGTAGACCTGGACAAAGTCACTGGAGTAGGGTTTACCCAGACAGTGCCGAGGGTACTCCCAGGGGATTTCTGAAGTCTACACCCCAACCACCACCCCGAGTTCTGATGTCTAGTGTAGTAACCACTAGCTCCAAGGAGCACCTTCCGTTTAGCTGAAGTAAAATGAAGTCATTGTTGTTCTGATTCTCTTCCTGGGTAGTTCCCTGTACAGTGATGGATGAGAACACAGGGCCACAGCTGCCCTGTAGGAGGGCAAAAAGAACACATTCCCACCATGGTAGAACACTGCAAAGGGCAAGGCTGACCTGGCGAGAGGTGGGTGGGAGGTGAAGTCTCCTGAGGGATCTGTGCCTAGACTGGGGCAATGATGTTGCTGATGAGAGGATGATGCTGATGGCCTAATGGGAGGAGGGGGGGTGATGCTGATGGGCTCCACAAAAGGAGAAGAGGATTTGGCAGAAGAAGGAAGAGACGGTGAGGACTGAGAGAGACAAACGATGGGAGAGTGAGGGAGGAAAAAGAGAGGACAAGAGCTGAGGCGACAACTCTGAAGCGCTCTATCATGCCATGATGCCACCAACTGGCCCTGGCCCCAGGCCCAGAGTGACACACTGTCTCCCACCTACTACAGAAGGGCCAGAGTCTAGAATCACAGATATCCATGGAACCCAACTTGTTTCTGACCACGTGCTCCTCTACCCCTCAGGAGGCTTCCACACCTGAGCCCATAATGGCAGAGAGGAATGCCCCTTGCTTTTTGTTTCCCATGGGAGGACAGATCTAACAGGGAGATCTGGAGGTCCTTTTCATTATCAAGCCAGCAAAAATATGTCTGCATGGAAAAGAAAGGGAGGAAGAAACACACAGAGAGAGAGAGAAAGAGAGAGACAGACAGACAGAGAGACAGACAGATTAAACAGTGAGATCTAATGATACAAAAATGCATCTCCTGCTGCCAAGCCTGACAACCTGAGTTCAAACCCTGGAACACACATCTTGGAAGGAGAAAACCAGGCACTGTGTTGGGTGGTTGGGTGCACTCATACACACACATGAAAGAATGTTTACATACACATACACACACATGCGTGCGTGTGTGTGTGTGTGTGTGTGTGTGTGTGTGTGTGTGTCTGTGTGTGTGTGTGTGTGTGTGTGTGTAATGTTTAAACTTTTTAACAAAACTGCTTCTCCTGCTACAAACAGACCACTCTTCCCAAAGCAGAGCGCACTGTGGTTCCATCACATGGGCACATCAATAGTCAATTGTCACTTCTTTTGGCATCCTTCTAAGTAAACATTTGAAAGACAGCATGATGCTGGGCAAATAGCATACTTCATGAATTCAGAAAAGCCTAGCTTTCATTTAAAATTTGCTACCTAATGAGCTGTACAGCCCCGTCCTCTCCAACCTTAGTTTCTCTCACCTGGCTGTGCTGATTGAGTGGTTCCAAGTGATACAGAACTCATGGGCAGGATGATGTGGGAGACTTTGGGGAGCCCCTTTTGAGGGCCTTACCCTGCCTCGGGAGTGGAGGGGGGATGGCTAGGGGCAGGGGGGATATTGTGGGGGAGGGGAGGGAGAGGGAGAAGGGATTGACATGTGAAACAAGCTTGTTCCTAATTTGAACTAATAAAAGAATAAAAACAAAAGACCCTTTTGTATACATTAAATCAGGGTAATTTATAATATCTAATACAATGTAAATGCTATGCAAATAGTTACTATACTGCTTTTTCAGAAAGTAATGACAAGGGGGAAAAAAGGTTGGTACATGTTTAGTGTAAATTCATTTTCCTTCCAACCAAAAAAAAAAAAAAAAAACTCACAGGCAAAGCAGGCCCTCCAAATGTTTCACAAGAGGTGGAAGGTGGAGAATGGATGGTGTCCCGTCAGATTGTTCACAGAAGAAGGGACAGCCAGGCCTGGCAGTAGAGACCAACACAGAGCGTGAGAGAGGAGCAACTGGAAAATGACAATTTAGGAAGGCTTCCTAGATGAAGCTGTGTGAAATGGACTAGAAAGAAAAAAAAAGACACTTAGCCCAGAGAACCCACAGGCCAGGCTGAACTGTAACTCATTAGCTTTCCCTGGTCATGTCAGACAAAGGCTGCTCAGACTTGCATGGTGAAACCTCCAGCCCCACTCACTCACCCAGTCTGCCCTATAACCCCCGCCCCCCAGGTCTCTGTCCCCAAGCAGATTGCAAGGGGCACCAAAGGTAGAGACTTGCTGACTCATCATACCCCTTCCCCTCTCAGGGGCACCTTAGGCACCAAAGGCCCTAAGGTAAGTAAGCATCATAGAAAGGGACCTGTCACTGTCTAGAAAAGCTTTCTTGCCCGGACCTGGCATGGTACAGAAGTATAGGAAGTCCTGACTTGACCACCTTTCATCCCAAGGTTGCCAGAGAGATTACAGCAAAGAGGAGAAACCAGCCTTCCCCTCAGGACTGGTTCCCTTCACACAGCCCTCCTGTGTTCCAAAGTGGAAGCTGAAGCACTTTGGGCCATGAGCCAGGAGGGAGACATGGGCCTGGATTCCACTCCCAACTCTACTGCCCAATGATCTCGGGGGGTGTGGGGGGGTGTCACTTCCCAAGAGCTTGTGCTCTCCAACTGCAAACTGAAGGAGTATATGACACAGTGTCACACAGGGCCTGGAATGCCTGGGGTAGAGGGTACTCCCTCTATGCCCTGCTGGAGGCTGAGCATGACCTAGGGGTGCTGTATTGGTCCCACTTTAGAAGGGAGAGGATATAGAAAGGGAAGGTTGATTTGGGGCACAGGGAACTTGCATCCCTGAGATCCTCTGACCTCTGCTGACCCCAATTATCTGCAGGTCACCTGGAAGCAGGGCTGGGCCAGTGCCCGACTAAGTCAGAAATGACCCTTGCCACTTGCTACAGACTCTGCCGTGGTGGCCTGTAGACCTTATCCTGACCAGAAGATTCCAGTTAGAATCTTCTTTCCTTCCTGAGAGGCTTTGGGGGCTTTAATGATGCTTATCCTCTCTCCCTTGGGTGCTATGGCTTACCAAGATCCCCTGTGCACCCCCGGGTAGAACTGTTTTCCACTTCATGGTGTATCCTGGGTGATGATCTGTTCAATGACCAATTTCTACTGTCCCATGGGGCCGTGGGCTCACAAAACAGCTAATGTTCTTTATACTCCTGCTGACCAGTGACCAATGGCAGACTGTTTGAAAAGAAAGTATTTTAAGGGGACACACGCACTCTCTCTCTCTCTCTCTCTCTCTCTCTCTCTCTCTCTCTCTCTCATTGAACTAGTCCTGGGAACACAGGCACAAGTATCTCTTTAAAAACCCTTCCTGCATAGCAGGTCACACTGGCCTGCAGCCATAACACCCTAGGCTGTGATCTCACCAAGCTCCAGGAAGCCAAACAGGGTCAGGCTTGGCTGGTCTAGGAGCAGGAGACCTCCCAAGCAAAACACAGGTGTTGCTGGTGATTCAGCAGCGCAGGCCCTCCCTCCTGGAGTCTAGCTCTTCTCAGGTGTTAGATGGAGACTGGAGTGATTCAGTGAGCTCCTATCAGCACCCAGCCAGAGGAAGAGGGTGTGGCACTGCCTCTGGGCACTCACGTGCTTTCTCGGCCTCTGTCGGGTCCATGGGTTCTTAGGAATCAGGGTGTTAAGTTGTGTCCTCCTTTCATAATCCCTGCCCAGTTCCTCGGGCTGAGCATTCTCGGCCATTGACCCAAATTCTTCAGGCTGTTTGTACCAGGTAAGGGATGAAAGAGCAGCAGGCAAATCTCCAACAGACACCCCCTACTCGCAACTCCCCCATGCAACTCTAGCTGTGGACTATGGCTGCCATCAGGATCAGGGCCTCAGCCCCCCAAGATAGTCCCTTCTAGTTTGGGAACAGTGAGGATAAAAGGGGTCCATGAAATGAGGGCCGTCATTAGCCTGT